TCACCTGGGTCCATGGGATAATTGGAGACGCTGTAGCAATGCTTTCATACTAACATCAAACAACCGTGCACCCCTAAACTCCTAATATCAGCTAGCCCCCGAACATACAAAATCCTTATCTGTTGTAGGGAACAATTAAAACAAGGGGTGCTGAGAGCCTGGGTGCTTGCTAGAAGTAACCCTAACCTGACCCCAAACCCTGGAGGGGTTGGTGGGCGGGTTTTTGTTCAGGTTTCAAAGCAGCGCATGCCACCAAACATGGGCTCATGACAGTTGTTTCAGCCAGTCGCAAAGTTTAGTGAATACCTTCCACGGTATAGTCCCCCTTAAGTAGATAGAATATGGGTATGGGGATCTGATTATGACACTGGGCAATTCCATGTTCTATCTACTTGAGGCGGACAATAGTATGGCAGCTCAGTCAGCGTATATCGCCAAAATGGAATATTGACTGTAGCTCATACGTGGAGCGCCGCTTCTAATCGTAGCCGCAGCCGAAGGGAAACCTACCTAAATCCTAAACCCTCTGCATTGCAACGCCAACTCTTGGGAGTTTCCCAAATTTGGGATACCTTAGAGGGGTTTTGAGGGGGTTATACAGATATATAGGGTTTAGGGTTTCCCAAAATTAGGGGTACCATTCTGGGTCCTCATAACAAGAGTTGTAGTATATCGGGGTTTATATTGGGTTCACGTATTTTGGCAAACTACCAATTTAAACACCTGAACCTCAGGCCCCCACCCCAAAAAACACCCTAAACCCTAAACCCTGAACCCCCTAAACCCTAAACCCTAAACCAAACCCTACACTCAACCAAAACTCCTTCAGGGAGCAGTGGCCACGAGTCCTGGACCTTGCAGCTGGCTTCAGAAGTATGCAGGGCTTCACTACATGAGTAGTATTTTATTTGGGGATACTATGGCACCCATCATAGAGTAAGACTCTATCCTCCTTTTGGGGTATAGTATCTTATATAAGGCATATAATCTTACTGGGTTTAACAACCAAAAAACACTACTCACATGAGCCATACTCTAAACTCCTAAAAGGGGGTTATATGGGGGATTCTATAGCCCCCTTCATTTAGGCTTTAGGGTTTGGGTTCAAAACTCCTTGAAGGGGGTTCTATAGGGGACTACTAGATTGGTGATAAAGGGGGATACTAGGAGTTTAGATTATGGCTCACAGCAACTAATGCAGCGTTCAAAGCGTAGGGCTTGGTGTGATCGCGAGCTGAAGTCAGAGACAAGGGTCTACACAGACGAATTTCTGGGCCTGCAGGGACTACACAGTCCCCAGGGATTGGTGGACTGGGGGCTTGGCGTTGTATCTGAAGGTCTTTGTTGAGAAGCTTCTTAGCATTCCCATACTATGGTTTGCTTGTAGAGGTTGTTTTCGCAACAGGATCCTGATCAGCCAGAATATACTTATGAGCTCGAGTTCAAAGAACTACTTACGGTAATCTGTAGGGAAAACGGAAATATATTTATATGTATGTACATATATATATATATAATTTTTATCGGGATTATGTTCCCTTATTCCCTACCAACCACCAGTAAGACTAGTGGGGACAATGCCGCTTTGCACTTTCCGTCCACTCCATCATGGCTATGACGTCAGCTTCTACGGGAAAATTTCCCGACCAACACCTTGCATTCAACCTGCAGAAAAGCCAGGACCAAACGAGAAGCGCAGGGTGTAGCTTACTGGTGGTTAGTGGGAATCAGGGAATATACTCTATTCCCTTATTCCCCTACTAGCCACCAGTAAGTTAGGGCTCAGGGTTCAACTTTGAGACAGGGGTTTTCAGATTCTGTCTTGAAGTGTTGCTGCTTGACCAACAGAGCAGCTACGTGTAGGACAGAGACTTGAGGAAGTTCAAAGCCCAAGCAACCTACAGGAATATTGCATTTCCAAGACCTGAGACCGAACTCCAAAATCTTTTTTGACCATTTATGCAGAGGTTTATGTGCCCCCAAGACAAGGTGAAAGAGATGTGATGTATCAAACCATCGACGAAATCCATGACCTTCGGTCAGTCAAGGCAATTCGCCGCATGCAGGACACGGCCAGCATGTCCAGAAAGGCGAAGCCATTTGGGTTATACTCTAAACTCCTTAAAGGGGGTTATATAGGGGATTGTATATGGGACTACTATAGGGGTTATTAAGGGGGATACTAGGAGTTTAGACTATAGCTCATTTGGGTTATACCCGAAACTAAGGGCCCGTTTTGGTTAAAGATTACATTACAGTCTTACAGCACCCAATATGTGCGGGGTACCAAAATGGGAACCTAATTTTGGGAACTACCCACATAGTCCTTGAAGGGGAATTTGTACTTGGGAGTTTCTGGAATTGACCTTTTTGTAATAAGATCCTCGACCGAGACTCTTGAGAACCCTCTCATGGTCGGTACGTATGCCTGCAAGGATTTTTCCATCTTGAGGAACTCCCATATGGTACATGGTTTGGTTCTGCAGTGCTTGAGGTCGAGCTTTTCTTTTAACTCGTTGGGGCTTTTGTAGGCTTCGTCTGTTTTTTTTTGTTTTGGCACGCTGGGTCCTTTTGAGGGAACCAAAAGATCAACTCCTACCTCATGCCGGTGTTTGTCAAAGATATGCTTACAGAGTCCTGGAAATAGACTTCCCCTAGTAATTTAACCTTCATAGGTTGGCTTTGAACAAATTCCTTTGTGGGTATTACGTGAGGGGGTATCCCTCAATTCTACAGTCTTTGCAGGGAGTATATTTGGATGGCTCAAGGGTTGATTTCATCGAGAGATGGTGCAGCCTGGGTTGCCTCGAAATTTCCCACCGCCTTTTAGGTTCATGTGCCCTAAGCCTTGAATCTTTACTTCGAGAAGCAGATGCAAGTGCTCCTACGGATGCAAAGCTTGCCTGAACAGATAGCATGGAGCTCTTATGTAGCCCTTATGTAACCCCAATACTTCGGATCTCTCTCCAAGAACTCTAAGCAGCATACAGGCGTCGTGCGTGGTTCTTAATGTTCTGCTTCTTCCTGTTCTGTTTGCAGCCGACAGTTTGCAGATGCACTTGCCAAGTTGGCTGGTTTCGCCATTGACCCCTCCTTGCCGCCGAACGTGCTTACAAGCATGTTGATGGACTTTGTTGTGATACTACTTGCCTTGGTGGTGATGCGCGCGCTTTTTCCAGAATTTCGCTGCCAATCTACATTGCAGCAGTAGGATCTCAAGCATCCAACGACAATGATCAGTATGAGTAATCCCAGGTCCCGTTTACACTATAGCTCATGTAGATTCCGAACATGATGCCTATGTCGTCTCTTCTAGACTTAGAACCACCTATGAGCCTCGAGAAGAGTAAGCAGTTCTCACACATACCCAGACAGGGGTACAGAATTTTGAGAACTACCCATATGGTATCATCCGTGTATGGCGTTTTACTGCGATACCATCCCTAACAAGGCGGCTATGCAGTTGGTGCGCACCCTGGTGGCGCCTTGGACTGATTTTGGCTAGTGATGCTACTCATCTGATGGGTTTAGGATCTAGTTGCTGGCTGCTGTTAGAAGATGGAAAGTGTCATGTTGGGAGTTCAGGGATCCAGTCATCCATTCCCTAATCTTACTTAGCCAGTAGAAGAACTTTAACCTTTCTGGGCTTCCTTTTTTTGTGGTCTCTATAATAAAGTTTAAACTTTTTTAGCCCTGGTTATTGGGGAAGAGAATATTAACAACTAGGAAGTTGATGGACTTACGGTTTGTCCTGTTGCAGTTCTGGTAGAAGCGGTAAGGAGTAAGAGCCTCAACTTGAACAAAAGAAGGGCTCTGATTCTAAGCCCAAAATAAATATAGACCCAAAACCCAAGTCCTAAACCCCAAGCCCCAAACCCCAAGCCCTTAACCCCCAAACCCTAAATCGCGAGCCGAAGGAATTCCACCCCTACGGCCCCGCCTTGAAGGGCACGGGCGACGAGCGGGCAAAAGCGGAGAAGCTGTTGCTGGGCTCTCTCTGTCTACGCTTTATTTGTCTACCCGGGGGATGAGGATTTAGGGTTCGGGGTCGGGTAGAAAGGTGTATGGTGTAGAGTTTTAGCGTAGGAGTATGGTGACGGTTTAGCGTTTCGGATTTCGGGTTCAGGGTTCAGGGTTTAGGGATTAGGACTTAGGGTGTGGCGTTCAGAGTTTGGGATTTGTTGGCTCTCGTACTGCGGGTTTCAGGATTGGGATTTAGGGTGTTGGGCTTAGGGTCATGCAGGGCTTCTGTTGATCAGAGATTAGTTAGGGGGGTTGTAGGTGGTATGCGGGGATGTGCAAGGTTCGTACTGGAAGGTTTGCGGGTAGTTTTTCACGGGGCTGCAGGGATTACGTATGTGGGGATGGCTCGGCTTGAATAGGGGACGTAGCTAGATGTATCCGTTCAGGCCTCTCAGTGCAGGGTGTGTGGACGAGGCTTGAGAAGCGAGAGTGCAGCCGGTAAAGAGTGTGGATAGTTAGGCCAGGGCCTTGGGTTTAGGTTCCAGGATGAAGGAGTTCAGAGTTTCAAGGCGTTGGGTAAGGGTTTAGGGTTTAGGGGTTTAGGGTTTAGGGTTTAGGTTTAGGGTTTTTGGGTATCAAGCCCTGGTCCCATGCTGTGGAGGGCATGTTGCCGGACCTGAGGCCGATAACCATAACCTTGAGAAGCCCGTAGACAGTCCTTGCAGAAGGCAGTTCGGCAAATCCTCATTATCACAAGATATCCTTACATATCCCTATATATCCTTATATATGCCTAAGCATCCTTGAATCCCCCTATCTCCGGATGTCCCTAGTTTCATAATATATCTAAAGCCTTGAACCCTATACAAAAAGTAATCCTAAACCATAAGTTCAGTCTTGCCCCCCCTCAGTAACAGTTGATAATACTTATACTATGGATACATATAGCCCTTAATAGGACCCCTAATATAGACTGTTACTGGGTAGGGGCAGTACCCAAACCATAAGCCCTAGCCTGACACTCCTTGGAAGCTGAGGCTCATGGAGATCCACGACCGCCTGAAGAAGCTGAAAGCGGAGGAGTAAGCAAGGGCCCCCTTGAAAGGGCACCAGGGGCTATAAAGGGGTGCAGGGTTACATGTGCTATAGGCTTTCTAAGAATTCGGGATATTACCAAATAATGGAGAATCACACGGAAAATAAGTGGAAAACGAATTGGAAGCTGAGTTTAAGCATGTTTTGGTCTGAAGTTTATGTCCGGGCCCAGATAAGGTGTCGTCCACATCCCCTCCAGACTCCCTACAAATTCCATGCATACCCCTTCATAAGCTTCTATAAAGCCTGAACCCTAGGCCCCAAACCGCGTCCCCAACCCTAGACCTTAAACCACCAATCCGAAACCCTATATCCTAAACCCTAAACCCTAAATCCTAAACCCTAAACACCTAGACCCTAAACTCCTAAACCCTAAATCCAGAACCCTAAGCCTAAACGCTGAACTTTTCGAGTCCCCATTAGGTAGATAGAATATGGGGTACATGGGGGTGTTACTGTTGTTTTGGAGAACTCCATATTTTGACAACTTGAGGGGGACTATGACCATAAACCGTCTCCATAAACTGGCTTACTGTTAAGGAACTTAAATCAAGTTACCAGAAGAAGGAAGCTTCACTACATACCCGCATTGTGGTAACTTAAGCCAGAAACCTTAAGTATCCTGCATTATGGCAACTTGATTTAAGCTACTGTCTAAACTCCTAGTATCCCCCTTAATATCCCCTATAGTAGTCCCCTATATAATCCCCTATATAATCCCCTTTAAGGAGTTTAGACTGTGGCTCATTTGAGTTCCTTAACTTTAACAGCAACCCAGTAAAGAGGAGCTGGCAGAGCTTGAGGGCAAGGAGCAGGCTGCTGGTCTCCACATGGGAGGATTTTCCACGCGGCTTAGGGCTTAGGGATTTGGGGTTGCGGGTTTTGGGTTTAGAGTTTAGGGAAGCGCTGGGACTTTGGGGTTTATGCCTCAGGGAGTAAGGATTTAGAGCTTTGGGATTTAGGTTGCAAGGATTTAGCTTTTAGGCATGCTAGAGGTCCCTGCCTTATAGGGTAGCTGTTTTTCGAAGTCTTCTCTCGTCTTTTGGTTTCCTGGTGCGGCTTTTTTGATTCTGCAAGAGCAACCGCATCATGTTGAGTGAGGGTTCCAGAGACAACAAAGAGGCCCCCAGTACCGACCCTGATAAGGAAGAGGAGGAAGAGGAGAAGGACGGCGATGGGGAGCAAGAGCAGCCAGAGAAAAGACGCCGTGTGAAGGGCAAAACCGAGACTGAAGTTAGCATCGCGCGCGAGGTGGGCCATTGTCAACACCTCATGGGGGTTCCCACAACTAGGTGTACCATTTTGGGGGTCCCCAAAAAAGGATTTATAGTGTATTGGGGTCTACATTGGGTTCCCCTGATTTTGGGAAAATACCATATGTTTAGGGTTTGGGGTTCAGGGTTCGAGGGACTCCTGCATATGCGGGCCTCATCTGACTTCAGGACTTCTGGGATCTTAGCGCGGCCTAGGTGAGGCTTTGGGGAGTCTTTAGATATGGGTGCCCTGACTTATATGAGACCGCCCTGAGGATTCCTTACAGTACAGTAGCACGGGGTTTGAGGGTTCCGGATTGAGTTTGGGTGAAATGCCGTGGGCTTCTTTAATACATGGGGGCCCCTCTCTTTCTCCGGTCGCTGAATTTGCTGTTGTGCTGGTTCGAGGTCAGCGGTCTCGGCCGGATCGAACCGCAGTACAGAAAGCCAGTCAGCTAACATTTCCAATCCTGCAGTCAGAAGCTCTAGGTCAAGGCCGACCCCGAAACCCAAACCAAAACTTTAAATAGTTTGTGGGTTTTTGGCGAAGCTTCTGAATGACACTGCGAGAGAGGGAAGTAAGTATGGGGTCCGTAGGAATCAGCGTAGAAGGGTAGGGTTACAAGGTTTGAGGTGCAAGGGCTTGGGGATTTTGCAAGCTTGGTCACCCTCCATGGTGACATTCCGTGAATCAGGTGGACAAGGATTTGTCTGCAGAAATTAGCGCCGGTGATGCACGCCAGGCGCGCAGCGAGTCAGAGTTTCGTAGGGATACACACCTGCCTAACCTAGTGGTTGTTAGTAGGGAATAGGGGAATATGATCCCTATATAATGAATTCCCTTACTACCTACTAGGCCCCAGTAAGCTAATGTTTGAAGCCCTACTGTCCTCTGCATACATTTCCCTGGAGCCACACAGTCGGGATGCTTATCATCGAGGGCTTTGGGGCGTGCTGGCTTAGGGTATAGGAGTGTACCCTCAGAAGGTGGCGGTTAGAACCTTAATTTGGCAATGAGGACTGTCGGCAACAGGTGGTTCAGTCAGCAAGACATAATACACAATGGGTCCGAGGTGAGGGTTTGTGCCTTAGTGCTTCACCTCCCGGGGTAGTCTAGTTGGCCAAATGCATTCACAGGGATATGGAGGGTCTAGCCTGGCAGTACTTTCCACGTCTGCACGTGCACCCTAAGCCCCCTTTACCCCCTTTAAAGGTCGCTGTTTACACTAAACCGTTAACGATGTCTGTGCCAGGAGTCCCGGACGAAGCAGCGGGAAGCCTTGTTGAGGATGCAGGAATGCTGCTAGGCTTAGGGCTTGTTACCGTCACTTTGGGTTGTGGGGGCGGTTTGCTTTTTGACAGCTTCAGATGCCAAATATTTGAAACTTTAGAATAAAGGAAGTTGGAAGATTAGGAAATGGGACCCCTAAGAAATTGTAACTTATACCATCATGAGTGTTTGGGGGTTCGGGGTTGCCTTCTGAGCATGAAGGCCAGGGCTGCCAATGGTAGGATTGCGTATAAAGCCCGTTGGGCGCCTTTTTTGAATTTGGCAGGGCCATCAAGTATTTTATTTGGGGATACTATGGTACCCCAAATAGAGTAAGACTATATCCTCCTTTTGGGGTATACTATTCTATATAAGGAATATAATCTTACTAGGTTTTAAATTAACCACCAAAAAAACACTACTCATGTGAGTCCTGACTACGTGACATGAGGATAGCTAGTTGCGGCTCCCTTACACCCTAAGCCCGGCAGAGAACGCCTATGGGACAGCCATGCCTCACATTTATAAGTCCCTGTACCAAATATTCTTGACACTGCGGATCTTCGCATTTAGGGTTTAAAGGGTTTAGGGTTTATGGTTTAGGGCTTAGGGTTTAATGGTTTACGGTTTAGGGACTAAACACCCCACAGCATGAGAAGATTCTCCTCCCCTATCCGCAGTGAGATCTCCACAAGCACAATATACTTGTATCGCAGAGCTTGTAAATGCCAATATTGCCCCAATACCCCGATATACCCCTAAATAGTCCGATCTACCCTTATATCACCCTATATACCCTATGCGCAAAACAACGGAGCGCATATGAATTACCGCAAGCCTGAGTCCCATGAAACAAACCAGGCTATGCGCAGAGGGTGCAGTTCGTGGAGCTGCTGGACAACGCAGAGTCCAGACTGAGGAGCCTTCTTTCCTCCAAGACTCCAACGGACGTCACGGAGGCAGAGCTGATCTTTTTGTTCAGGAGGACTCTAACCTTTTGGGGTACCCTATATATGTTTATATAATATCGCTATGTATGCCTATATAGCTCTTAACCCTAAACCCTAAACAACCCTAATATCCCCATATGATTTGTTTGGAGTTCAGGGTGCGACATGTTAGGTTTTGGTGATTAATTAGGAGAGGTATTTAGGGAGCGTCAGGTGCTGTTGAGGCCCATGGGCCGTCTGAGAAGGGGTGAAAACGTCCCAAGATGAGTCATAGGTATCGTGGCATGGTTTGCCTACGTAGAGCCCGTGTAAGAGTAACTAGGAACTTCCAAACACTTTATCTGATTATGTGCGGAAATGATGCGTGGTTCGGCGTGCTTTAGTGAGTTCGGAAAACGTTGACACGTGTTCCATCGGTGCCATGAGTGTGCATGGAAGTTTGGAGGATGCTGGGAGCAGAATGCTGCTTCAAAGAACCTTCATGTAATACCAAGTGTCTACTTAATCCCGCATGACTCCACGTTGTCCGACTCAATCAGCATTAATTCCTGCAGCTGATGAGGACATGTGAGTGTCTGTGGAAACTTGGGGGGGGGGGGGGGGGNNGTGGGCCTTTGCGGGCGAAGATGGCAAGATGCTTACTGTGAAGTGCGTTCTGTTGTTATTGCGGTTTGAGATTGTCCACATGGTGAAGCAGATGTTGACTGCTGCTAGAAGCTTGCCTGAACCCCTTAGATTGCCCAAAGCCTATAGAGGTCTTGAAGGCCCTTGACAACTACGGATGCTGTAAGGCGGACACCATGTGTTTCCAGTATAGGCCAAGATACTGTGGCCTTAATGGCATGGTACTGCGAAGCTAGGGGCAGGGCCTGTGCTGGCAGCTTTAGATTGCAAACTCTTGATTCCTAAGGTGCTAAATCCGTCAACACATTTGTCCCTGAACCTCTGCAAACCCTTCAC